TGATCTAGAGTATTATGGTAAATACAAAGCAAAGCTTCCTTTGCACTTACAGAAAGAAAAGCCTGATGGTAAACTTATATTGGTGACAGCACTCTCACCTACTAGATATGGTGAAGGCAAAACTACCACAACGATCGGCCTTACGGATGGTCTTAATTATAATGGCAATAAAGCGATAGCAGTCTTGCGAGAGCCATCATTAGGTCCAGTATTTGGTGTCAAAGGTGGTGCTGCGGGTGGTGGATATGCGCAAGTCATTCCAATGGAAGATATCAATTTGCACTTTACAGGAGATTTTTCAGCTATCGAAAAAGCAAATAATCTTCTTTCTGCACTCATAGATAATAATATTCAAAACAAACAATACAACCTTAATATTGATCCTCGTACGGTAGCATGGAAACGTGTTATGGATATGAATGATAGAGCTTTGAGGCAGATCATAGTTGGCATCGGTGGCAAAGGAAATGGCATCATGCGCGAAGATGGATTTAATATCACACCTGCTTCAGAAGTCATGGCTATCTTGTGTCTATCTAATGATCTTAAGGATCTAAAACGTAGATTAGGTAATATTTATGTAGGTCAAACTTATGAAGGCAAACCTGTTTTTGCACGTGATCTAAAGGCTGTTGGTGCCATGGCTGTTTTGCTAAAAGATGCCATCAAGCCGAATCTTGTGCAAACATTAGAAGGAAATGCAGCTATTCTTCATGGTGGACCATTTGCGAGTATCGCTCAAGGCACTAATACGGTTATTGCTACACGAATGGGGCTTTCTCTTGGAGATTTTGTAGTGACAGAAGCAGGTTTTGGAGCTGACCTTGGAGCTGAAAAATTTCTTCACATCAAGTGTGTTTCTTCAGGGCTTAAACCAGATGGCGTAGTTGTAGTTGCTACTGTAAGAGCATTAAAACATCATGGAGGAGTCCATAAAGATGTACTGACAAATTCTGATCCTGATGCTGTGAGAAAAGGATTCTGCAATCTCGAAAAACATATTGAGAATGTTCAGAAATTTGGCCTTAATCCTGTCGTGGCTATCAATGCATTCCCCACAGATACAAATGATGAATATGAAGTCATTAAAGAGTTATGTGCACAAAAAGGTGTGAAAGCCATAGTAAGTACTGCATTTGCAAATGGTGGAGCAGGAGCATCAGAACTAGCCGCTGCTGTCGTAGAGAGCATACATGAAGGTAAGAACAATTTCAAACCATTATACAATCTTACGGATAGTATCGAACACAAAATAAAAACCATAGCCACAGAAATATATGGTGCAGATGATGTGGAATATACGTCAAAAGCGAAGTCGCAAATAGCACAAATCACAAAACTAGGATATCAAGAATTACCTGTTTGTATGGTCAAGACACCTGCTAGCTTCTCGGATGACGAAAAGAAAATAGGTAGACCTACAGGCTTTAATGTCACTGTGAGAGAATTTGAATTTGCCGGTGGTGCTGGTTTTGTTATTCCTCTTCTAGGTGATGTGATGAGAATGCCTGGTCTTCCTGCGATACCGAGTGCGGAACATATTGACATAGATGATAATGGTAAGATCGTAGGGCTTTCTTAAGTTTGTTATGCACCTGATCCGATGGCTCAAAGACATCAGATCGGTTTGTTAATACATCCAAAATTTACCGATAGGCTGTCTTGAAGCCAGACTATCAGTGAGAAAATATATTAAAGGTGGTAGTTATCTTTTACTAGAATAGATTTAAAATCGGTACTATTGATAATATCTGCTATCTCGTAACCCAATCTCAAACCTTCATCACAGTCTTGCTTGTAATGGACACCCATGAGCATTCTAGAATATGCATTTTCATGGGCCATATCTCTTAATGAATTATAAGATCTCTCTTTACCCACAAACTCGATCCTATGTGAATGACTCATGTCAGTCATCTTATAATCAGTACCAAAACTAGCTTCTAGAATTCTAGAGCCTACCGCACCGAAAACAGCATGGCCTGATGGATAAGCTGGAAAATTTGGATTTGAGTGGAATGGTTGCCAATTGCCATCAATATTGTTCTGAATAAAATCTGAAGGTCTTAATAAATTATAATCATACTTATTTTTCCAACTCACAATAGCAGCATCATAAAGACCAATGCCCATCCTCAGATACAAGTCTATCATTTCTTCTGCGGACACTTCTTCTTTTTGCACTATTTGATTTAAGATAGAAATCCATCGCGCTGGTGGTGAAAAAGTCAATCCCCTTACATCATCTCCCCAAAATTCAGCTACCCAAACATCGTCTTTCGTCAGATTGTGTGACATAGAGTATATCTCTAATGCTTCTGCATATAAGGCTTTTTGGAATGAGTCTTTATTTGCATATGGTTTTACGCAAGTCACCTTGTTTTTATTGACTACTATGGTTTTTTTCTTACCCCAATCTGGTAAAATAGCATGTTCAGACTTAAAAGCAAACTTGGATTTAGACTGCTCAGTCACCTTGTTTGAATTAGATTCTTGGACTTCGCAGAAATTTTCTGTACGACTTTCAAAAAACTTAGGTAAGCTATTCTTAATATTTTCGCTAGACTTAGAGACCAAGTCCGCACTACTATTAGAAATTAAAATTGTAGACGCAATATCGTTTTCTAGTTTCTCTATACTTTGTTTGGAACTTAGATCTAAGTGATTGTAATACCTACTCAGAGCATCACTATATACCTTATTAAGTAATTGTAAAGTTTCATCTTGAGAGAATGACATTGTTTTCTGGTAGTCTAGAGACAAATATCCACACATGCCCAAATCAGCCAAACGTTGTGCAGATATAGGTGGAAAGGCTGTGGTATCTTTACTTTCTAAGACTAGAAATAAATTATACCATTGTAATACAATTGATTTGACCTCTAGATCTCTTCTTTTTTCTTCGTGCATCTTTGGGTTAAAGAAAGAAAAAAGAAGAACTAAAGACAGTAACGCCATAAGACGAAACAACCCAAATATATTATTTAATTTTACCTGATTAAACTTTACCATTTCTTTATTCGAAACCACAAAATTACAACTTTTAGATTAGCGTAGGATTAGAATTTAATTAGAATTTATTTGGGCTCTCTTACATCATCTTTATAGGAAATATAATAGTAAAAAGATTACCTACTTCTCCTTCAGTATTAGAAATGGTCAGTTTGGCTTTATGAATATTAACAATACTTGCGACAAGCGATAGTCCAATACCCGAACCTTTTATTTTATTTGTTGCATTACTCCTATAAAACGGCTTGAATATCAGTTCTTTTTCTTCGTTAAGTATCCTTGGTGCAGAATCTTTGATTTCTATGGCAATGAACTGATTATCAGATATATTTAAATTAATTTCAGCATGATGATCTGGAGAAAATTTACAAGCATTTTCTAGTAAGTTGATCAAGGCTGTTTTGACTAATGCATCATTTGCCAAAATATTAAGTTTATTTGGGTCTTCTGGCAGATGTGTAGAATCAAAGCGGATAGTATATTGCTGGCTTGACTTTTTGACAGTAGCAATAGATTGCCAAATCAATTCATCAACCCTTGTTTTGTCAAATAAGATTTTATCAGAATTTGCTGAGATTCTAGCCAGTTCCATAAGGTGTGTAGATGTATGTTCTAGATCTACTGCTTCATGCAAAATATTATTAAGACAGGTTTTATAGTCTTCTGTCGATCTATCTTTGGATAAATTTACTTGAATACTGGAAATAATAGAAGCCAATGGATTGCGCAGTTCGTGTGAAACATTAGATAAAAACCCCTTCTGAATTTTGAATGCATCTTCAATTCTGTCTAGCAATTTATTAAAGGTAAATGAAAGCCTAGAAAGTTCATCTTTATTATTATCTACATTTAGTCTTTGTGTCAAATCTGATGGCAACATATTATCTATTTCATTCATTGTTTTGGTGATAGGTTGTAGTGCTGTTCCAGCAAAATAGTATCCACCTACAGCCGTCAAGGTCAAAAACAAAAAAAATGTAATTATTAGGATATTTCCCAACCTAACCAACTCTTGTGACAAAAAGACACCTTTAGAAATTATAATGAGTTCTTTTCCAAAATTTGTGGTGTATTTTATACCAACTGCATCATACATACCAAGATTAAACTTATGCTCCCCTTTGGCCAAAATCGCTCTTAATACTGATTCAGAGATTTGGTCTTCTTTATTGAATGAAAATAGCTTTTCGAATTTTGTATTAAAAACTATAATATTTTCTTTGGAAGGTAGTACTTCATTATGTTCATTTTCTTCTTTCTCAGTCTCAAGTTCAGGATTATTCTTTACAAGCATTACGACCGTCATTACTGCTTTTGATTCTAAGCCTTCATAAAATTCAGCTTTGATATGATTGCTAAAATTGATATAAATAAATATCAATGATGACAACAACAGTAACGCTGTAATACCTATAAACCATAATGTAAGCCGAGTTCGTATCTGCATATTATTTGGGATTGAATATGTATCCAATGCCAAATTTAGTATGAATTAGCTTCTTATCAAAACCTTTGTCCAATTTATTGCGTAGATAATTTACATAGACCTCCACTACATTTGTACCAGTATCAAAATCGACATCCCAAACTTTTACAGCAATTTCATTTTTAGAAACAACTTTATTTTCATTATTTATAAAAAATTCAAGAAGTCTGAATTCCTTTGGCGTAAGATCAAGGTTCTTTTTAAGCCTGAAAGCTGTTCTGTTGACAAAATTAACTTCTAAATCTTCAATTTGTCGAGTTGTTGTCGCTTGATATATACTATTGTAACGGCGATCCAATGCCTTGATGCGAGCTAAAAACTCATTAAACTCAAACGGTTTAGCAAGATAATCGTCACCACCAGCGTCTAAGCCAATTATTTTATCTTCTACAGAATCTAATGCAGAAATAATAAGGATAGGAACACTACTCCCTGACTTCCTAAGCATGTTACATAAGTCTATACCATTAATACCTGGCATCATTACATCTAGTACTATGACATTATATGTATTCTCTTCTGCAAGTTTTAGACCATTCCCATACTACTTCAGCTACTTCTCTACCTCTATTGACTGATCTGTCATATACCTCAGCAGAAACTTCAGCTTTGTATTTGTCATTTAGTCTTTTTGCAGTGGTTCTGATAAGTGTTTGCTGAGCGTCTCCTACTCTTGCAAAAAACCTAGGCATTAAGTACTCATAACTTGCGTTCACCACCAATGGCCAGTGATATTCTTTTGTTCTATCTGCATCAGGTACATCAAAACCTGCCCAATAGCCATCAAAAGAATTAAAATCTGGCATACCTGCGATACATGCTTCATAAGCTGACAAGCCTAGATAAGCTACTGATCTTGGCGCTGGACCTGGACGGTATCCTGCTGCAAGCTTGGATATCAGGAGATTATGAAATAGTAATGCCCTTCTACAAAAAATATAAATATGGGATTCCATACATTTCGCAACCTTTGCTTTGTCAGAGACTAGGTTTATTCAGTAGGGAAAAAGAAATAACGAATAACGAAATAGACGCATTTTATGATAAATTGTCATCCAAAGTATTCAAATATGATATACTTACGAACGATGATTTCCCATTAAAGTTAAAACATGTAACAAAAGAAAATCACATATTAGATCTATCATTAACGCATGAAAATTTAGTAAAAAACTATAATCGAAATACAAAAAGGAACCTAGCATTTGCAAGAGCTGTAGAAAACCACCATGTCAATGAAAATACAGATATCAAAGCACAGATCGACT